TTAAGCTTTCTGCCAGACCCAACTATATTTACTAAGCTACTAATATTCTAGCTTATTCTCAGCTTACCAGGGTGTAAGAACATTCTCTACCATCTTGTCTTATTAGGCATGCTTTCTTAGACTTATGGAAAGTGCCTGGACTGAGATTTGCAGTCATGACCCACAGAAGGTCTACAGCTGTTTCTTCATTTGAACATCTCTGAAAAGAACCAAAGCCATTCATTAGGACTTTGTGATAGTTTTCTTCCTTCCTTTGAGTTTTTTTCTTGAAATGGAATTTTATTATTTAACCCAGCTGACCTGTAACTCACAGTGTAGCCAATATTAGCCTTGAACTTATGATCCCCCTTCCTCAGGCTCCAAAGTGTTGCGATTGCAATTGTGCACCAATGCACTTGGTCAGTATAGTTTTTCCTGCATTTTCTAGCCAGTTTCTCTAAGCTTTTCCTTGATTACCACTATTGGTAAAATACATTTTGAAGATTCACTAATCAACTACAATTGGCTCTGACTAGATACAAAAGAATGCTCCAGTGTACACCCTCCTCCCCACTGCAGTTTAGCACAGAGCATCATCGTTACCTTTAGGGGCATGCGTGCACACATGTGCACATTTGTTTGCATATACATGTTAGCAATATTTAAAGGCACATTATAGATAGGCTAAAAAAGTTCCTCACTCATATCTCTGGATATAAATCATATTTCAAGTACCTCTTCTGATCATCTTAATTTTTTTAACTTTTTATTGAGTCTTTGTGAGCTTCATATCATGCACGTCAGTCCCCTTAGCTCCCCTCATATCCATCCTTCCCCCTCGAAGCCTCCTCCCACCCAAATAAAACATACAAAACCAAACCAAAACAAAAGATAGAAAGGATCTCATCATAAAAGCTGTAGTGTGTCACAGTGTGTCCCACAGTATAGCCCTCTGTCCACACATCCTCACTTGCAAATGATCATTGCAGTGAGTCATTGATCTGGTTCAATATCTCTGGCTTCTGTGACGCCATCGGTATTGGATCCTCACTGGGACTCCTCCCACTTATCTGTAGTTCTGTGTGCCGTGGAGATCCTGCAGCTTTGGAACAGCAGGACTGGCCTTTTCACATACCCCAACCATTTGAAGGTGATACAGATTTTGGGGTGGGCCAATTCAGAGCCCTGGATCTGGGTGGGCCTGGGTGGTAGCTGAGCTGGCTTTCCCTTATCCACACCACCAAGGCAAGCTCTCCAGCACTGCCTAATGCCTCCATCATCAGGAGGCAGAGTCAGCTCTCCTGCTGCCATGCTTATGGAGCTGGCTCACTCGCATGCATAGTTGTCCAGGCCATAGAACAGTTAGAGATTTTTTTTCTTAGCCTTTCTCACACGTGTTAGTTAAATCACCTCTTGTCCAAGTCTACCTCTTAACCAACAGCACAGATTTCTCTTCCTCAGCATCTTGAGGGCTCACCCAAGCAGAGAAGCACTTCTCTCAAGCACTGTTCAAGCACTTCTCTCTCCTAAGGGAATTCTGGTGCCAGTTGTTACAATAATGAACTTTTTTCCACCCACTTTGATTACGAGCTTTGTCTTCTTATTTTCCTTTCTTTAATTTAATAGATATGAAGGTTCTCACATCTTGAGACAACACACACACACACACACACACACACACACACACACACACACACAC